CCAATCCTTTTCACGGTAATAGGGGAGGCTTTCAATAAAATGCTCACATCAGTATATGAAAATGGGATCCTTACTGGTTTGATACTTATCCCCATATCACTTTGTATCCCACTGAAAATATGATGATCATACATTCGTTTTCTGTGAGGCTGGAGAGCAGCAGATGTGGATCCTTTGGTTGTTCATAAAATATTTTGAGGTGATTTTCAATCTTAAAATTAACATTTATAAACCAAGTAATGTAGTATTGTGCGTAGAGTGAACAAACTTCCATGCAAAAGACCTTGCGCTATTGTTAATTGAAGAAATACCATATAGGGCTATCTTAGATGGAAAGATTTTACCTAATGTTGGATACATAGAAAACTAAATGCTTATCTCTTGGTGGGGTGGGGAATCACGTTAATTAAATCCACACTCTCCAATCTTCCTATATACTACATGTTACCATATCAAAGGAGGTAGATTTTAGGAGCACCAATATGGTTCGTACAAAATGCATTATTTCTAAATATTTTAATATTTTTGATAAAATATTTTTTGTATTTCTATTGATTCTTATTTTATTTTCTTCTTTAATAATCAATTATAAAAATTTCAAAATTCGGATCCTTTGCTTGATTAGCCTAAATTAATCGACAATTATTGTTTATTTTTTTGTTTGATATGTCAATAGTGGGAATGGATGTTATGTTGAAGCATCTATACCCTAACCACCCGTTCCCCACCCCCATTACCACTTAATTGATACTTATTGTTTATAATGGTTGGTCATATATTCATGCGGTTCAAAACAATTATAATGAAGCGACATAAAAAGACAAAGATAAATGATTGCCTATAATCACAAATATTTTGAATATGTGAAGCCCATAAGGCCGTTGACTGTTAATTCCGTGTATGTTTTTTGGCCGTGGACCATGGCTAACGTGGTATTTGAGCACCCTAGCGCAACTCATTGTATGCATACAGTTGTACTTACCATATGCAAAATGTATACTACAAGTCACATCAACCATCCGTCGTCAACAATAGAGAGAGATCGGACGAGTGGATTGTTGGGAATTAGATTGTGTTACGATCAATTGCCATAACCTCTAAGTGTAGATTGGTGGCAACAGGTCGGGTCGGGTCAGTCCAGACCTGGACTTGGACCTAGACTCAGGCACGGAAAAATGATATAGGCCCCATACCCAAATTCACTGGATCCGACCCAAAAATAAAATATCTATGTATTTAACTATATTTAAATATATTTTATATATTGGGACCCAAAAATATTACAGGACCTAGACCTAGACCCGGACCCGAATAGTGTTCGGACCCAAGAATTGGACCCAGACTTGACCCTCCGAGGCCAATTTTTGGACCCATACTCAACCTCAAACTGGGTTTACCCCTTGGATCCCGGGTCGAATCCATTGCCCACCCTAATAGTATATATCATGGGTTCCGACCGCTCGGTCACCTCCCAAATAAAAGAGATTAGAGATGAACATCCCTCCGCCAAAGCAACATTGAGAGGTTGAACTCAAAACTCCAGTTGACTCTCTTTTAACGGTCGAGAGCAATGTTTCAAACCTAGTGGATTATTCACCTTGTATATCTGTATAGGATCATTGGATCAGTGTTATGTATTAGTCCAAATCAATGGTCTAGAAAATATTAAAAATGCAAAGATAAAATAAAAATTAACATAATGATTTATGAGGATTTAAAAAAATATTAGATAAGCTTAAAAAAAAAAAGATGAACTGAAGATATTTAACTGGGCTAAGACCGATATCATTATACAACCAGTGCAATCCGGGCCAATTCCCTGTCCGAATCAATGATCTAGATTAGGAATCACGTAAGTTCTAGAACACCGGTTGAAAGAAACACCCTTACATACAAACAAACACAAAGACACTAATACCCATATACCGTCTATTTTAATTGGGCGGTGCAGGTCGAACATATCTTTCAAGTCGATACAAAAAAATTAGTATATCTTTTAAGATAGTGTCGTCAAAATAAATAGATACTACAGCCTTAGGATAAGATTGCAACTTTGTATAATATAAATACCACTCGGATTTCTGGCATCCTTTCCCAATGATGGAGGACATTGTCCATAATTGTCAAAGATGGGCATTACCCGGTGCATCCACTATCATCATTAGGAATGGACGGTGGATGGCCCCGGTGTACCACACATCATATAGAAATGGTACACCATGCAAAAGTGGTCTATGCAATATTTTTCGTTGGACAGGTATGGCATTTGCGAATGTGTTCCGTCTTAAATTTGAGCATGAAAGCCTAGGGTGAAGTGAAGTGAATCTAGGACTCTTAATGGTTTTGATGACCAAAGATAAAACATGGGCTTTTACCATGTGTCTCAAAATTACATTTAAAACTTTCCATATAAACTTTGGCACCAACCGTTGAAACATGGCTTTCGGGTGTCATTATCTATTATCAACAATTTGCACCCTCTTTTTTTGTTTTTTTGGAAAGTTATTCATACTTCTAATTTGTACTTTCTAAGTATATGCTACCCCAACATTTTTTTATAGCAAGCTGAAAAAACGATCAGTATTTTTTTTTTTTAAACTACTCCTAAGTAAAAAAGTTCAAGTTTTTTTGAACTAAAATAAGCCCTTTTAACATTTTTTTTATTTGAAACTACCCTAAGTAAAAAAGTTAAGTTTTTTTGAACTTAAATAACCCCTTTTTAACCTAGTTTTCCAAAAACATAATGCCCAACATGTGTCAGTTTGGCAATGTGCCGGGCTGAAATAAGTTGAGTATAGAGCCAGTTTCGTAAAAAAAATGTGTGGAGCCGAGACAAATTAAATATAAAACCGTCCGGCACAAACAAAAAAAAATGTGTTGGGTTAGCTCTGTACAAGTTGTGTTGGTGTGGCACATATTAAAGAGAGAAAGTGGAAAATGCGGCAAAAAGAGGTATTTGGGTAAAATAAAAAAAGAGCCGAATATAACTTTTCTAGCAAATAGCCCCAAATTAAAGATAAAATAAAATAAAATGATGACCACAACACCCTCTATTAGTCTTTACCCCTTTTCACACTGTAGTCTCCCTTTTCACACTGTAGTCTTGGTCTGGCAACAGGCAAGGCAGTCTTGCACTAGCTGCAAGCGGTCCGATACGTCCAACTTTTGGTTCGGCAATTGTCACTCTATTTAGGCTGTCGGTTAGGCGAAAAGAAAAGCGGTTCGACAATTTTTTAATGGGGTTCGACAGTTGTTTTACTTGGTCCGACATTTTTTTACCTCGATCTGGCACTCAACATACTGGAATGGATTGAGGGACCGTGGTCCGGCATCTGGGTTTATTGTATCGGTCCAGTACTTTTTTTAACTGCGGTCCGACTATTAATGTTTGGTTGCGCATCCTATGAGAATGTGACGCAAGCTTGTATGGACAAAGGCTTTTTGTTCTAAATAACTTTAACTTTTTTTACTTAGATGGTATTTGTCAAAAAAGTATTGTTTAGGATAAAAATTGCAGAAAAAAGAATCGTTTAGAGAAGTTGTGTGGAAAGCGCTACTTTGAGGGTATCATCAATTTTCCCCTTTTGTTTTTCTTGTGACAAAACTCATTTGCACCCTCTCATATACCATTCACAAAACACAAACTTTTTCTCTCCTAATTTTCCCATTAAACTCCCCTTTCTAAGGGAACTCTCTCTCTCTCTCTCTCTCCTAATTTTACTTCATTAAAGTACGTTTTTCCAATCTACACTCAAAGCTTTCCAACGGGACACTCTCTCTGGACACTACTTTTTAATACCCAACTACTTTTTAATACCCAACTATCTGCAAAAAATGAAACCTGTCTTTGTGCAGTCAACTACTCCTTGCTACTCTTCGTAACCGTCTCCTTATGTATATACTACAAAGAACACTCCACTAAAAAGATAGAAAGGGAAAATTTACACAAATATAGTCTACATTTTTTAAATTAAAAAATGTCTTCAATATTTTATTGAACAACTATTATTTCAATTTTATCGTTTTTTATTTATCATATTGAGCTTAAATTTTGTATGTCCATACTTTTTAATATTATGTATATATAAAATTATAAAAAATAATTTGAAAATAATTTTTCTAAAGTATCCTGTACAAGTTTTGGAGGTAGTTACTTGTAAAATTATTATTTTTGTAGTTTTTATGAGAGTTCAATATAGTGAGAACTTATGGACAACCAAAATTTCAGCTCAATTAGATATATAGAGGAAAAAATGAAATTGAACTACTGCTTGCAC